TTTCTGCCTTTCTTTCTGTTTTCCTTTCTTTGTTTCTTTCTTTCTTTCTCTTTCATGTGTTCTTTCTTTCTGTCTTTTTTGTTCCTTCTTTCTTTCTGTCGTTCTGATGTTTCTGTCTTTCTGGCTTTCTGTCAGTCTCCCGGGATACCCACGTATATAGTTTTTTGATGCCTATTTAGTTTTTTTGATGCCTATTTAATTTTTTGATGCCTATTTAGTTTTTTAAAGGCCTCTCCCAAAATCGAGATTGAGCCTCCACACATTTCCGGAACACCTCAAAACCTTTTCAAGCTGAGATAAATAAATGAGTTTCGTTTGCAGGGGCTCGAGTGGACCTGGAGTGGTTTGTCTGGCAATCTGTCAAGCTGGCATTTTTGAATGAAGCAAAACTGCCAACGCGCGTGCAGGGGAAGCGTCCGGAATGACAAAGTCAAGAGCCACATATTGACCGTATGAACCCCATGGATCTGCACCTTGATGGACCACTTCATGGGCGAAGCAATCGCGAACACCCGCAACGGCCAAACAACATCCTCCTCGGGCACCTGAGGAAACAGGGGCTGCTCGGGTTCTGAGGCTTAGAGCAAACCGGAGGTCTGGAGCTCCATCCCCACGAACCCTGTAAGCCCTGTAAGGAATGCGCGCAGTAGTTCAATGAGTTCAATGAATCGGCCTTCTTTAAATTCCTGCACTGACAAGACACGAGAACGCCAGCGAAGAGAAAGCTGGCGAACCAGAGGCAAATCACCTGGCCCACTTGATGAAACCCCAAGGGGATGTGCAAAACTTCCCATCCAAATCCACATGTAGCATGAAGCGGGCAGCTTCCTTCTTCCACGGAGAGCAGGGGAACCAGGGGCGGCAGGCGACATTAGCATCTTCATGTTTGTCGGACACGGGTGATTATAGCCATGACGGATCGATGGGCTTTCTATTCCTGTCCGATCGGGAACGGGCTCCGTTTGCGAAAACACAGGTACAAGTAGCAGGGGATCAAGGTCTACGGAAATCACTCTGCAACTCGCGAAGCATTGTGGCAATTTGCCGTATTTTGGAGTGCAATGACGCCCTCTGCAGAAGTCACATGCCGGAAGGGAGCATTCCCTTAGCATAGATTGTAGCAACTTGGACAGCAGCTAGGCACAAACGGAATTCACATTGTTTGAGCACGACCCAGCCTGGAATAGGCCAAGAAGGGGATGACTGAAGGTCACCGCAAACAGCTGCGCGGCGCAGTCAAAGAAGAACAGCAGCAACGAGTGCCTGGGGCTCAAGGAACCACTACACAGGTTCTCTGTGCGTTCTGGGTGATAAGCTACTAGTACGGGACAACCTTCTACATGCCTAGTGGACCTTGAGGAATGCATGCAGGCTTGCAACAGCATCGAAAATCTACCGAGATGCACGAGCAAAACCTCCGGGTAGGCATCCCAGTTCCAGCCGCACATGCCGTACCCGCTGATCGTCAAGGCTGTGGCACTGAGAACAACCAGCATTGGGATCTGTATCAGGTGCTGAGCGATGAGGTATGAGCCTGGGATCGGCCCAGGAGGTTACAAGTACTGCTTTGCTGAAGCGGAGGACAGCTAAGATCGGTGTCGGGAAAACAAAAACTTCCTCTGCACATGGAGGGCTGAGCCGGTACATGCCTGACTTGACCTCGCGCTTCACTGCCACAAACTCCATGTTCTGTGCGAGGCAGGTCGACAGCGACATGCAAGACGGCACCCCGATGTGCCTGGTAGTAATCACAAATGCATCGACTGCGGCACACAACCATCTTTCTACTATCGACCACAAAGGTACACAAAACAATGAAAATCGAGAACCAGCCGACCACCTCATTCCCTTAAATTCTTAAACATGCGACCACAGAAGTAGCCACATGCGCTGAAGGATCTGGGTTTGAGTGCGCTCGCGGGACTTGAGGTAGACTATGGAGAAGAAGATGCACGAGAGAAGGAAGACCACCATGCGGCTCACGTACATTGTTGGGTCCCGGATCGCCAGCAACACCAGCCGCCGAAAGAGCACCCAAACCTGTTCAGGAAAAGACAAGCTTCGCTGCGTAGGCATGCAATCGAACCCATGATCAGAAGACATGATTTCACACATGTAGCAGTAATTGGCCGACGAACCGCGCTCAGCACTAACCCACCTCGACGAGCAAGTGCTGGCCTGCGTGCATTTTAATGTCGGCATCCAAATCAAAGGAGCCGCTCCCGACCCGCAAGGGTTGCGACTCCCAGGCTGTCAAGACCTTCTCCACTGCCTCTTGCGAGGTGAAATCTGCATTGATAGAGTCTAGAAAGAAATCCGCTGGATTTTCGTGGTCCGGAATCGAAAAGCCGAGTTTTTGGAAATGCTCCACAGCATCCTCCACCTGCCCTGAATAGGCGACACGGCCACCAGAGAGAAGCAACAACTTGTCGAATCCTTTGAAGATCCGTGCGGAAGGCTGGTGGATCGTGCAGGCAATGATTACATCTTCACTGCGTGCCAGTTCCTGGAGAAACTTGGTGATGCTGGCGGCCGATGCCGCATCCAGGCCAGAGGTGACCTCATCCAGGAAGACCACAAGGGGGTTTTTCATGAAAGCCACAGCCAGGCTCAGGCGACGCCGCTGGCCGCCGGAAAGCCCCTTGATGTACTCGTTGCCGACGCGTGTGTGGCGGCAAGACTGGAGCCCCATCGTCTCGAGGATTCCATCGGCCCTTGCACGCCTTTCCGATGTGCTTACCCTTAGGAAGAAGTCAGCTGCGAACTGCACGGTCTCGTGGCAGGTCAGGAAGGGCCATCCCTGATCATGCTGCGGCACATGTGCGCAGTACTGCTTGAACACTTCTGGTGTCATGGCCTTGCCATTGAGGTCTACATAGCCAGTTCGGCTACCGCTGGACCCCTCCAGGGTTAGCAGGTCCATGAAGGTAGTTTTGCCGGCCCCAGAAGGTCCCATGACGGCAAGAGTTTGACCAGACTGCCTCAAGCAAATGGTGCTCGGCAACAGGAAGTCCATATCTCAACTCAACAAGCGTGCAGTCGAGAGGCATAGACAGCGACACATTTCGCACAATGTCCTTGCTGGCTGTCACTTTGCCCCACCGGCGCTTCTTCACAGTGAAGGTCGCTTTCGTCACATTCCTGAGCACGAACACAGGCTGGGAAGTGCTGAAGTGTTGATTGAACGTTGCCTGTTGACAGGTCTAAGTCTAGTCACGACCAAACCGAGTATTGGCAAAACAAGCCATGGAGCAACGTGACCCGACCCATCGGTTGAGCCAGCTCTTTGTCGTCGGCACTTCGAACCGTCTGAACTATGACATCGCCGTGTCTTGGATCACTTTCGTCCACTATCCATGCAGTTTTCGTCGGCTCACTTTCATGTGGATGCTGCATGTCTGTACCAGGCAAGAAAGCTTGCGCTGAACCTTCTTGCGCAGAAGGGAAGACAGGGAAGGGGCCGCCATCTGTGCCATCCATGCGGATGCACGTCGAGTTCAACTCTGACTGCGGCTGGAGCACCTCTCCCTTGAGGAGACATGCTGCGGACATCATGCTGGCGGCTTATCATGCATCTCTTATACCGAGAGCATCATCGGTGACCTCCATCCTTCTCCGAGATTCGGGGTCACTTACCGAGTGTAGCTTCTCGAAACATCTCGACACCTATTTCCCGAACACTTCACCCGCGATGGGGTCGCTGAGAAGCATGGCACGAAAGCCTGCTCAACGCCGCTTGCAGTCGCTGAGGAAGTCCTTGCCGGAAAATCTCTGCTAGTGATTTCCGAAGCTGCCCAATCGTTCCAATCAAACTCCGGAAGTCCAGTTGATCAGCCCTCACAACGGTTCAAGGTGTAGGAGTGTAGGGTCCAGGGCTGCTAGTTCTGAAAGATTTCATACCCAATTCCCTTGACATTCGTGCATAAGCAACTAGTAACTAGAATCAATGATCTATTCCATGCGCACCCTGCTTAACGGAAATGTGACAGCGCTGGCTTACTCAGACTTGTCGCACCTGCCTGCAACAGGTTAGCACTCTCCGCAAGGCACACGAAACCCTCGGCTGTCCGTCAGCCACTCTTCCGTCTCCATCAGGAGGTCGAGAGCCTTAGGTGAGTGCAGGCTGTTCTTGACGTGGTGGCCGGGTGAACAAAGCTCCTGGCCCCTGCGAAGTGCGAGGCAGAGCTGCAAGCCGATGTGACTGCCACCAGAAGATCGCCTCCTGGCAGGACCTCTGTTTTTTCTGCATCATCATGACATCACCAGCCCAGGGACTACGCGCCGCAAGCCGACCCCACCTTGTCTGAACGCATGTCGTCCAAGAGGCCAACTGCCTGCAGAGGTGTCTCTCTCCCCCACACACACACACTCTCACAAACCGAACTGAAACTCTTGTTGGCTAGGTTCTTCAACAGGAAACTGGAAGAATCGCCTGCTGCCAAGTCGTTGGCGAGGCGCATGCAGTCAAAACCTCTCGTGTGACGCACTGTGGCGGACGGTTTGGGAGCAGCGGAAAGCTCTCTCTGCCCAGCAGCTGCACTGTATGTGAACTCGTTCGGGGTGAGCAGCACTCGCCGCATAGATTTCCTTTGGAGTTCTGCTTCAGGGGCTTCAGAAGGTAGCGAGTGCGACGAGGTCAGCCGAGTCTCAGAAGACTCAGAGAGCCTTGCCAGAGTTGGCGCTTCCCATAGGAGGTCAGCGCTGAGCTGTGGCTCACCTCCTCAGCGACATGGCAAGAACGCGTGGAGTTGCAGTCGACAACAAGATCCAAAAGCCAATGCTGGCTCCGAGTCTGTCGGAAGCAAACGTCGCCAGGGCATGCCACACCTGACTCTCTCGTCCTATGAAAGCTGACAGCCGGCCCCTACTCCGCCGAGTGGCAAAATGGCACCAGCAAGGTTCCAGCCCGAGACCTGCCCAGCATTTTATGACCCTTTCGTCTCTCGTCTTCCGCGCGAAGCTGTGAAAACAGTCCCGATTTGTCCGACGGCACCTTCTCGCAAGAGGAAATGGCGGCATTGCAGCCAACCTTGACGCAGCGACCCTCACGTGCTTCGAATCCGTCTACTCTGTCAGGAAGGAGAGGCTTCAGTCAACCAGCGATGCCTCATCAGAGCCTGGAAGCAACACTGTTGCCATCCGCCAGTGCCAAGCCTGCACATCTCCAGGCACAGTGTTTCTGTTGGCTTGTTGCTGTGCTCAGTGACCGACCTCTTCCTACAGTAACGAAATCTGCTATCGGCTGCCGCAGGCAACGCAATGACTGAGGCAAAGAGAGTCGGCTGCACAGGCCAAACCGATCGTGGCTGGTTCAGATGGGCCTTCTCGCAGGCGCTTATCACGGCGTTCCGTGACAACCTCATTGCTGAACGGAGACGAAGAAAGACAAGAATTAGTAAATGGATGCGCCCCGGATTCTGTGCACGATCGTAGGTGCTTGAAATGGCGTGAGGCTTGAATACACCGAGTGTGCGGCAGATAACGCATAATTTGAAACAAGGTTCGCGTCAGTGGCAACTGTCCTCGACTGCGCAAACATTCCACACTTGACGTGTTGCTAGCAAGGTGTTTTCGGAGCTTCGCAGCAGTGATGTCATGCTGCTCCCGGTCCTGCTCCGGGACGCTTCAAGACATGCCACTGCCGCTGACCATTGGCCAGCCTTCCTTCATTTGCTGGGTCATGCGGGGGTTGATCGGGTGTTGTGGCATGTACGGGCACCCGGTATTCCACAACAGCCAGCACCATTTGCAGCATGAGCTCTCGCAGGCACTGAGGACGCTATTGCAGGTGATCGTATTTTCTTCGACAGATGCACGAGCCATACCTGAGTTGGAGTTGCATGGGAGGCTGCGGCAGGACGATGCAATTCTCCAGATAGCTGCGTAATTGTCGCCTCGTCTGCGCCGAGTGACTTCGGAGTATCCGCAAGGCCAAGGACCACATGCCAGATTTCTCACACGCAGCGAGAATTGCCCCTGATCCAGCTTGCAAAGCGATGCTACTGCAACTGACTACAACTGCTGGCTCGAGATGCTACAGATGCTGCTACGAGTAGCTCCCGCCCAAGAGCTGCACAAGTAGATCAGGTGAGGCTCCAAAAGCAACAACACCGATTTGCAGCGATAGATCTGCTGCTCTTCGCAGCCAAGAAAGAGCTTGAAGCCACCTGCAGCATATCCACGTAACACATAAACGAGCCCGTTATCCGTGCTTAGGGTGTGACCCGGATGCAGCAGCAGCCGCAGCCTCTGCCCCAAGGCCTAAACTCGGCAAGACTTCAACTCCTATGGCAGCAGGACTCGAAGGTACTTGACGATTTCCGAGTCATGAGCTGTGTCTAATCAGGATCAAAATAATGTCGAGAAAAGCACTCGGTCTTCTCGACCATGGTTCTTTTTTCGGGAAGATAGCTTTGAGACGTGTCGACGCGATGCATCACAGCCCTTGCTATACACCCACTACTCTTGCAAGATCAAGCATGGGGCTGTGGCTGAACAAATGATTTCCGTCTCTGATCAATGTCCCAATGCACAGACACGCCCTCGGGTACCGAACAGCGCAACTTGGCGCGACGATTCTGCCACGACACGAACAACATCGGCGCCGGGACCAGAGAGGTGCAAGGCCATTTCCCAGTGCCGACCGCGCTCCAGTGCCTCGGGTCTAAGTCCACGCAATGTGACGACCGCAAGCCGTATAAATTACAGTCTAGCCGATTCTGAATTAGTCTCACTGCATTTTACCAATTAGCCTGACTGTATTTTGCTATTGATTCAGGTATTCGGCTTGAGGGGCAACCGTCGACCGAAGCTGCGAAGCGGCGAAACTCGACAGAAGATGCGAAGCAGCGACTCCTAGCACGGCGTCGTCTGACACGGCCCTTTTACAGCAGGCGTCTTTGGTCCGTGAACAGCCATCGCCGTGAAGCAGTGTATGTGACACGGCCCTATAACCCTAAACCCTAAAGCAATCTTTTAGCCCAAAGCCGAAAAAGACTTAAACCCGAAACTGTGACTCTAAACCACTTCTAAAACGCTAGACTTAATCCCGATAAGCCCTCGCCCCCCTTCTGTCACTCCTTTCATCGTGAAACCCCCGCCCGCGATGCTTGTGCCAGGTATGGCCCGCTGCTTCTAAGCTACTCCCAGCTTAATGTGTGTGTAGTTCGGCTTGAATGTAATAAGTTCTACTACTCAATGTAGTTCGTGCCTCTCCATGAAATGCACGGTGGGCGACCCTGACCCCAACCATCATGTTAACGGGCAATATGATCAGTGGGCGCAGTCTGGAACATTCATGCCGAACCGACAACCCCCACACTCCCGGTCATGAACAGAACTAATTGTCTCCGAGGTCTACTTCGCTGCAGATCAACGTGTGCCGAAGGCTCGACGGGAGAAGTGCGTGTAATGATACATAATGGCAATAACTGAAGCACCGTCAGGGTCTAGGTCTTGGCTGGCATGGTGTGCTGGGATCACTGTGGCTTACTGGGGAGACAAGGAAATTAAGAGGTAACGGTTGAGCACGCATCAAGGAGTGAATTACTCGGAGGCGTGTTTCAGCCCGCAGCCAATGCTCTGTGTGAAATGAAGCCGACTCGCTACGAGAAAACAAAACCCTTCAGGGGGTAACCTAAGGGCAGGGTCGACGGCTTTTTCTCAGGCAAGCCACGGTCATGGCAGAGCTGGTCGTGACCTGGTCCATTTCGATTAATCCTTTCCATGTCTCCTGCAGGCACCATCTCGTATGCACGTCAGACAGGGCAACGCTCGATCTTGCAAGATCGTCTCTGATCAACTTCCGCCGTGAAACACATTCTGCTGTCCTGCATCAAACACAGCGCACACTGCCAGAGTTCAGCTAGCTGGAATGCCTTCATCGCAACGCCCTGGTTGATCCTCGGCTTTGGGAGGCCAGGCTGCTCCAAGTCTGCAAATCTACAATTCTACAACGCACGACGAACCTCGGTTTCAGCCAGAGGGCTGGCTCGGCTGCAAACCCTCTTGCCGAATAGCCGAAATTGCCTTTCATCATGCTGAGCTGCATGCAATATGTCAGTGTCAGGCCAGTGTCATAAATAGTTCATTTTAGCTCATGCCTGTGCAGCAGCTGGCCAACGGCTCCAGCAGCTGAAAGAAGCAGGACTCGGTTGCAGCAGCGCCTTCAACAGGGATAGAGACATGGTGACAGCTTCAAATGCTGCGTGGTCGTGAGTGTTGGAGAGTCGGTCGTGAGCCTTGTAAAGAGTCCGAAACACGTCGAAGGCAGTTTTCCAACGGCCACTGCGTTCACAAGAGCTCATCAATGAGTTGAAAATAACCTGCGGGTCAGGAGGGCCCGGACGAAGCAATATTCTTGCTCGACATGTCATGTCAAATGTCACGTGTCGTGCGAATTCCAAACGCTGTTGTTCACCTCCGAGGATTGCAGCTTCTCTTTCTGGCCCCATTGGAGAACGGAGGTGGCACCCGCCCAGTGCCGATGCCGAGCCAGGGCACTCAGGCCGGCACCCAAACCTCAAAGGCTGATGAAAGAGCCGACGAAGTAGGAGCCACTTGAGCCAAACTGCTGTACATATCCGGCTCCAGGCGGAGGCCGCCAGCTCTTTGCAGCAGCAGCTCTGCACCTTGCAACAAAACACGCTGCTTTGACAGCTTTGGAGTCTGTAAGTTCCCAGACCTACCACTACGGTTTGTTGCCCAGCCGCGCTCCCACTGATCTCCCTTGTCCAGTGCAGAAAGAAGCTTGTTGAACTGCAGGAGATGGCACCCATCCTGCACTGCCGAAGTGGAGTCTGTGAATCTGTTCAAGGGAGGCAGTGTGTTTGAGGTTGTGTGCCTTCTGCTGCGCGTGGCCCAGCCCAGCAATGGCCCAACTCCAGGGCAGGCGACCTGAGTGTGAGAGTCACTGATCCAAAGAACAGCCCAGACTTCCATGCGAGCGAGCATTTAATCAGGTAAAACCTGACTGGGAGTACAGTGGCACTGGCAAGTCACTGCCAACCGCAGAAGGTTTTCAGAGTGGTGAAATCCGTCCATGCGCATGATAACATAACGCGGACGGAGGCTCTTGCTTCCTGTGAACAGCTTTCGTCTACAGTGCTTGGGACCCCTGGGCCGGCCACCTGCTGCCTCGGGAAGTTCTGGGACATGCTGATTGGCACCAGCATTGATGAGCATGTCCTTCTCGCGAGGCAAAGGGGCGGGGCCGGTTTGGGACAACACAGATTGGCTGCAGTTAGCGCCAGGATTGTTACTTACCTTCTTACTTCTGTTATCGCTATCAAGACGACCAATGTACGTAGACTTTTCTTTGTCTTTGCTTCCCTAGCACCAGCCTGATTTTGGTTCATCTCTGGAAATGCCTGGACAGATTGCAACAAGTTGGTTGCGCCTCGACAGGACACGATCATCCTGAAATAGCGGCAGATGTCCAGCGGCCATCGTGCAGCCAGAGCTAGCTCTGGTTCGGCATCTCATGCACTAGCTGCAACGATGCAGCCGTATGCAGCCCAAACATGCCCAAACCCAGATGTTTGGCACGGCATCACAAAAGTTCTTTTGGCTTCTGAAGCTAGCTGGCCGAAGGCCACGAAACCCGCTCTAGCATGGTCGAGTCCACCAGCCAATGGCCGATCCGGAAAACAGTTTCTGCATTCCACAGCATGCGGCCAATGTGGTGGTCTGAGTCGCAGAGCACCAGCCACTGCAGCTGTGATGCGCATGCCGTCTTGGCTCCCTACTGCTCCGTAAATGCCTTGATCCGCCTGTCGACGGTGTCCCTCGCAGCCGGTCATGATAAAGCATCGTTCGAATAGAGTACAAAATCGGCAAGGCTGCTCACACAAACGACACTGCAAAGCAATTTACTGCACTGGCACCCAGATGATCTACAGAACGCCGGCCTCGGCACGTTGTCTTTCAGCGCATTCTGCAGCAAGGAAGGAATAATATCACATCTGATTTGTTCACTCCTGCGCCGTCTGGCACCTTGATGAACCGATTCAGCATGGAGTTCGCTGACGGATCCGGCCCTCCATCGCGCACGGCCATGGTGATATTCCTGCTCGATCATGCACTGCACGTCTTCAAGACGTCTGATGTCTATTTTTACGCACACACACACAGAGAGACAGAGACAAACACACACACACACACACCCACCCACCCGCGCACGCGCACTCGCAAGCACTGGAAAGAGGAAGCTGGAGGACAAGTACAGCTTGCATGCATAATTGCGCATCGGGAGCACACTTGTTTCTTCTCTTCTTCTTTTTCCTCTACTTCCACTCTCCAGGGTTTGGGGTTGGAGGGGCCCCTGAAGCGAGGTCTCCGGGCAAGGGTCATGAGGGATAAGGTATTCAGGCTAGTTAGCTCCAAGAATAGCATAAAATACTGTATAACATCGGCTATGTTGTGTTTTTTCTAAGCCTTCCGAAAGGAAGCTTCTGGACAACTCGGCGGAACTCTCTTCTTGTGGGCGCACTGCGTTTTTGCTCGCCCCGTCTGTGCTGGGGACGTCCGTTCTGACATCTACCGTAAACAGTGGGCTGAAGAATAATTTGCACAAGTTGAATCTAAAGACTTGATTCATATCTTGGGCGCTGTGATGTTGTTTCTGTTACTTGTCGTGCCTTGCCGTTGCATGATCACATCTCGACCACAACACAACTGCCCACCACCACTGGACCACCAACCCCATGCTAGATAACTGAATCAGCGTCATATATGTACGGAGCTTCCCATCACCGCATGGCTGTGGCTGGCTTTGCTCCCGAGGTCTAGCTCTCTTCCCCGAAACAAGTCTGACTCGTCTATACGGGTCACTTGCTGCCACTTCGCCTCAAGTGCTTTGCCGTGACTTTGGCCTCCGGGCAGCTGGCGCAATCATTGTTGCTTCTAACATCCAAAACAAGTCTACTACTGCGAGCTGCAACGGAGTGCAGGGGCGCATCCTTAATGCTTTCATAAGCATAGCACTGGCTGAAAGGACGGCAGGCACCAACTTGCACCAACTGCCGTTTGCGTCGCATCAATGACTCAAGCTGGCCTGCTTCCGTTCAGCAGGCCTCGAAAAATTCTGCGCCACCATCGAAGCTTCAATGAAACTTCACTCACATGTCCGATCATCTTGCGATTTTTTGCCTCGGCCCCCGACCCCTTCTTTTTCTTGATGTTTGTCTCGTAATTCCGGCCCCGGACCTGAGAAGGATGTGCGATCATGAAGCAATGCTAGCTGGGACTTCGGGCATTGAGTCAGCACCTGCAATGGACAAAGTAAGGCTCCCACAATGGTCCGGCCGTCACCACGTGACCTCGAATCCTGAAGAACTGCCGAAGCACTGGAGAAGCGGTTCGAAGCTCTTGCACGAAACTCTGCAAACAGTGCTAGCTGGGATTAACAGCAATACTGCTACTGAAACAGATGGTCGTCGTCGTACAAGTCGCTGTGATGGTAGCAGCAGCAGTTTTGGTGGTAGCATTGGTAGTAATAATACTAATAGTAGTCGTCGTCGTCGTCGTCGATCGTCGTCACGTCGTCGTCGTTGTCGTCGTCGTCGTAGCAGCAGCAACAGCAGTAGTAGCAGCAATTATGGTAGTAGTGTGCCAGAAGTAGCAGTCGCCGTCGTCAAGCGAAGTCAAGTCAAGTCAGACCTGAATGCCCGAAGGCTGCCCATTTAGGATCTGTAGTGCTCAGGAAATCAACTGCATGGCGAGTTGCTGCACACATCAACGGTCATGTATGTTCTGTGCTATGGAACAGAATGTACAGGTGTGCGCCTCTCACAACCGGCGGAATGCATCAAAGAGGTGAATATCATCTCGCCATTAAGATCCTACAGCTTCTTGGGTCCAGTGGCCTCGCGCCTGCCATTTGCAAGAAGCAACCAGTTTTTCATCCCACATCATTTTCGCACGACCGGGCTTTCCAATATTTCTACTTCCGATGACTATTCGTGGCTTTTCCAGAATGATGCAGAACACATACCTACTGTTTTCAGGATTGCAATAGTATGCGGACCAGCCTGGATGAACGTAAGAAGCCGTGTGCAAACATGACCAAGTTCGGCGCTCTGCGCAGTGCCACAGCTGTCAAGCCGAGACCTTGGCGGGGGCAGCAGCCAAATGTTTCGTCCTCTGCGCGAACCCCTGCTCCTCACCCGAAGGTACAAGCCGAATGCCTCAAGAAATCATTTCCCAACCACTCCCCCCCCATCTCCATCAATCCATCAATTCATCCGTCCGTACGTCCATCCATTCCGCTTTCTTTCGAAGAGTGCTGTCCCTCTAAGACTGCTCTCGCGCTCTCTATCTCTCTGTCTGTCATCCTGTATCCAGTCTATATCTTCTTTCGCGCTGCCGGTCTCAATGGTCCGAGCTGCGGCCTCGCCATGCGGCAAGCAAACCCAACCGTTTTTGCAGGTCCTCTGTGCCGGAAAACTGCCTTCGACAGTAAAGGCAAGCATTTCTCCGCCGGAGACATGACTTCAAAACCCGAGAATGCCGTCACGGCTCCTTATTGCTTGGATTTCATTGGCTTCTAAAAACCGGAGCATAGTTTGCTCCGTTGCGTTTGGATGACCTCGCCTTGATCTCGACATGCATCCCAACTCCGGTGGTCCCTTGTTTCCCGCACGTGTCGACCCAAGACCCGGACCATTAAGCATTGTGTAGTGGTAATTACAACATGCGACCGGGTGGCCTTCATGGAATTGCTACCAATCACTCCTTACTTGTGACTTTGCCACGCTTGCAATCAACGGTGCCGGGCGCTGGAGCAGACCTGACGTTGAGTTCTACCCATTCGCTACTACATTCTGTCGTTGCCACCTTCCGGCTGCTCACCGTTGAATCATCACCAAGCTATGGCCCGTCCCCAGAACCCGACACGGCAGAAACCAATGGAAGTATCAGCGGGTATGGCGTCCCCCAAAACCTGAAATGGCAGAAACCAACGGAAGTACACGTAACAGTGACTTGTGGCCCCATTAGCACGTGTTTCTCGTCTACTGTTAGTTGTTCCCCCTTTTTTCGAGGTCTCCTAACGCAGCCGCATGTAGCCGGGTTGCCCAGTGCTGCCAGCCTGCACAAAAACATGCCAATAAAGCATCACACAATATTCAATGCATGCCTGGCCTTTGGCCGAATGTGGCGACAGACGAAAGGACCGCCCCAACATCGCCTGCCTGCCGCACCAACCAACCCAAGAACTCAGGGCGCAAATGATCTAGTATTCATCGCCGCAATGCTGAGAGGGTAAGAAGAATAAGACTAACAAAAACAATACCAATGGACCAAGAGTAACAATCTTGTCAAATATTGTCACTAGAGACAACAATACCAATAATGACACTTACGGTCACTTACGATAACAACAATAACAACAGCAGCAGTGGTCCTATTCGTCGTCGTCGCTGTCGTCGTCGTGCATTGATTGGTGTAGGTGGAACCCATTCTATGTTTGCACGCACTATGTGTGTATGTGTACATGCATATGAATATGAACATGAATATGAAATGAGTATGCATATGGATATGTACGTGTATGTGTCTATGTACGTGCAAATATATATGTACATGTATATGTATGTAATTGTATGTGTAAATGTACACGCACATGCACATGCACATGTGCATGTCTAATTATGTCTATGTCTATGTCTGTGTCATCCTGTGTCTATGTCATTCTGTGTCTATGTATATGTATGTGTACATTTTGCCTCTCGCCCTGCCCAAACCGCGAGGCAAAGCATTTTCTGTGTATATGTATAAGCATGTGTTGGCATACGTGTAGGTGCATGGCTGCACGCATGTGTATACATGCGTGTGTACGTGCATGCGCATGAGGGGAGGAAGGATGGCTGGATGCATGCTCGTCGTCGTCCAAGCAACCACACAGGCAACTTTCAGGATCGCTCAATTTAACCCGTCATCATGCCCAAACAATTCTTGTTTAGCACCCTTTTTCTGCTCGCCGCGATTTGGTGAACAATTTCCAAGCCCCGGTAAGACTGCTTTTTCGTCGGTCCATGAGAACAACCAATCTAACAGTACTATCGATGCAATAACTCACACTACACGCCAACTGCGTATATCATTGCACGACCGATTATAACCAGATTATAACAATCGAGCTGAACCCAACTGAACGTACTCAATCACTAGTCGCACATTGACGC